AAACATCTGTTTAAAAGTATAGCGTCTGCGGCCAGCAGGTAGTGTGGTGGTTGAGGCACTGGCTCCCACATAGTCAACTGTGGTTTGAATCCCAGACCTGGTGACTTGATTTCTCACTTTCTCTTTCTCTCCCTCTCCTTCTCCTTCTGATGAGCACACATATCCTAATGCAAACAAACAAAAAATAATTTTTTTTTTAAAGTATAGGTTCTGGTATTTATCTATGAGAAAGGACAAGTACAGGAATTTCAAGGCAATTTAGTATTTGCAAGTTTGCCAGACTATGTTTTCATTGCCTTTATTTCTTTGGAGCCTTAGAACAAATGTTTGCCCCCAGGAGCTTCCCACCATTGCCATGGAATTTGTCTTGACTTTGGAAATTTATTTTCGGCAGTTTCTCCTAACCAGAGTTAAAGTGAGCAGAAAATGTTGAGCTTCTTGGGGACCAGCAGTTAGCGTAATGGCTATGTCGCTGGACTCCCACGTAGTCGACTGCAGTTCGAGTCCCGGACCCGGTGGCTTAAACTCACACCGGGCGCGTGTGTGTGCGTGCCCAAGATCCCGAGAGGAGAATGGAGGAGAAGGGATTGCGGCGTGACCATCTCCCCTGGGGGGTGATTTCTCACCTTCTATCTCTCTGTCTCTCTCTGGCTGGCTGGCCAGCACATGCGCCCTATAGCAAAAACCTCTCTTAATAAAAAAAAAAAAATGTTGAGCTTCTTGGAAAGATCCATTACTGCCCATTCTCAAAGCCAGATCTTTTGGGCCAGCAGATGCACATGGAGGTTAAGATGGCTGAATCCCAGATGGCCTACTGTGCAATTTATGTCCAGGACCAGCAGCTGGAAAATCACTCTGTTTAGGGACCGCAGTTAGCATAATGGCTATGTTGCTGAACTCCCATGTAGCCGACTGCGGTTCGAGTCCCGGACCCGGTGGCTTAAACTCATGCCCAGTGCGTGTGAGTGCGTGCCCAAGATCCCGAGAGGAGAATGGAGGAGAAGGGATTGTGGCATGGCCATCCCCCTGGGAGGTAATCCCTTTCTGTCTCTCTGTCTCTGTCTTTCTGGCGAATGCACACACCCTATAGCAAAAATCTCTCCAAAAAAAAAAGAAAAAAGAAAATTACACTGGGTGTGTGTCCATACATGTCCAAGATGCCAAGAGGAGAATAGAGGAGAGGCAACTGCAGTGTGCTTGTGCCCCTGGCAGGTCACTTCTCATTTTCTCTCTCTCTCTCTGCCAAGCACACGTGCCCTTTAGCAAACTAAAAAAAAAAAAAAAATTAACGCAAAAACTAACAAATCTTCCTCACCTAAAAACACGGACTTTTGCAGGCTGATGGAAGAACAGGATGAATATTCTGAGAATTATATCCTTCGAGCTGTTACTATTGGGCAAACCACACTTGTGGCTATTGCCAGGGACAAGATGGGGAGAAAATTCACATCGGCTCCTCGGCAAATTGAAGTAAGGAAATAATCTGATCCAAAATATGTACTTAATCTTATTTAGCATTGTTTATCATTTTCTGTTAAGTTTGTGCAAGTTGGAAGTCAAACGACTGAGGGCTGGTCCTATAGCCTAGTGGTTAAGGGAGCTGGATCCCACATGGCCTAGAACACAGTTCAAATCCTGGCCCTGGAAGCTTGAAACACATGCTGGGGCCACATACATTTGTACCCAAAATCCCAAAAGGAGTGCGATATGGAGAAGAAAGGATTGCAGTGTGAGCACACCCCACTAGGGTGCTTCCCCCCACCCCCCTTCTTTCATTCTTCTCTCTCTGACAAAAGCAGACACCTTCTGGCAATAAATAAATAAATAATATCATTATACTGAAAAAAAAAAGGTAGTTGTCTAATTTTTGCATAACATGTAATATTTTTCTGGTTTTTATTTTTCTGTATAGAAGTAATACAGATTTTGGGAACCAGTAGTTAGCATAATGGCGATGTCGCTGGACTCCCACGTAGTCGACCGTGGTTCGCGTCCTGGACCTGGTAGCTTAGAACTCACGCTGGGCGTGTGTGCGTGCATGCCCAAGATCCTGAGAGGAGAATGGAGGAGAAGGGATTGCGGCATGACCATGCCCCCGGGGGGTGATTTCTTGCTTTCTGT